ACTTCAGCTCACTTTAAATAAGCATTTTGAAAAATAACAGCCATAATCCTTTTTTGGGGTGCATGCGGTGGCTTTTGGTGGCAGGAGAGCTCTTTTGGTGGCTCTTTGGGAGCGCAGACGCTCAAGACAGTACTGGGAGGTAATAATACTGAACCACTTTCATAATCAACATCATCGGTCCACTGGTTTGTCTGTTAATGCCAATCTAAGACATATATTTTTGTAAATTTTGTTAAAATAATGTTATTTTCAGTTAAAAAATGTATTTAAAAATCTGATAAAAAGTTTATCCTATTCACAGTTATGAGTATGCATGCGCATAAAAATAGGTTGATGGACACATGCTATTGTTACAGATTCACGTAAACAAGGATTGTCATTAAATTAAATTCTATTCACATTTACTTGTTTAGCACTTTTACAATGTAGATTGTGTCAAAGCAGCTTCACATAGAAGATCATAGTAAATTGAAATAGTGTCAGTTCAGTTTTCAGAGTTTAAGTTCAGTTCAGTTTAGCTCAGTTCAGTGTGGTTTAATATTCACTACTGAGAGTCCAAAAAATAAAGAGCAATCCATCGATGCGTAGCTCTACAGATCCCGAACCATCCAAGCCAGTGGTGACAGCAGCGAGGAAAAAACTCACCAACTGGCGAAAGTGAAAAGCTAAAAAATCTCGAGAGAAACCAGGCTGAGTTGGGCATGACTATTTCTCCTCTAGAGAAGCGTCTTGTGCAAAGCTGCAGACTAGGCGCCAGAGGCTGGAAGCTGGACCTAAGTGAAGACTCATCTGTCTCTGTGGAAAGCATGAGAAAAAGAATGTGGAAACGCTTGCTTTACTTTAAGTTAATAGCTTTTTTAATTATTTATTTTTGTGAGTATACTTACAAGAAGTAAATTTGAAGAGAAACAGGAATATGGGATGGGGAAAGATCCAGCAGTCAGGCACTGCACTGACCATCCTATTGACATCACCATTAGTTGGATTATATAAGTCACTTTGGAATATAAGATGTAGCAGGTTTCAGTTAGTAAAAAAGTGTATATTTTGAAATTACAGTGTGTTGTTTTAAAGTAAAATCTCTCTTTATGTCACACTACTACAGAGGAGATCAAATCCACACTGTCCTGGTCCTCGATGCAGAGGCGGTCAGAGAGGGCGACCCGCGTCAGGACGGTTCTCAGTGAGACTCAGCTCTGCATGCTTCAGACCTGTTACACTGCAAATCCCAGACCCGATGCTCTCATGAAAGAGCAGCTGGTTGAAATGACTGGTCTCAGTCCTCGGGTCATTCGTGTCTGGTTCCAGAACAAGAGATGCAAAGATAAGAAGAGAAGTCTGACCATGAGACACACACAGAAGCAGCTTGAGGGGCATCTGGTTAGTAGCACTTACTTTGAAACGTAAAGCTGCAGTCTGTAACTTTTTTTATTTATTTATTTAGTACATAACCAGTCAGTGTTCAAAACTATATTTTTACTCTAGCCTGATTCACAACGGTGAGTTTGTAATAATGCTTTATGTTTTATAATTTCATTGCTACTGGTAGGTTTTCACATGAAAATATGGTTGGTCTGTTGTTCATTGGATGGGTCAGTCAGTTGACAGCGGCTTCTATTGGAATTATGCAAGAACAGCAGGCGTGAATGGCACTTGAGAAAAAATTTGAGATCTCAAAAAGTGTACACAGCGGCCTCTGGTGGATTCGCAAAAAAAAGAAAAGCATAGCTCCTGGGACCTATTTGGCGCTCTCCAGAAATGTATATTGCGGTTCATTTTCAGAATGAGCCTGGATTGTTTTTTTATTTAAATGAACAATTTCCCATGAAATTCAAATGTTACATCAATTAGAAATTAGACTATACAAATACTAAATGTAACAGTAAAATCATGTTGAAATTGAAATCCGGTTGAATGGGAAGTTGCTGAGACTTATTTCAGTATGTCAATGTACTTCCAACTGAAATGGAATATTGAGTAGGGACGGGGCTTATTTGGGGCTTATTTACTGAAAGTAAACTGAAGTAAGTTGTCAAACTGACATAATCAGAGAAGAGCCAGCACTACAAACATGGAAGCAGAAGATCAGACTTTGAATTAAGATCACATTTAATTAAAGAATAACAATGTGAGATAGGAAAATAATTTTTTTTTTAATTTCACACAGACTTTAACACTAACAGATTGAAAACAAAATATATCAATAATAATTTGCATAAAGAGGTGTGATATAAGCTAATTTGTTAAATTTGATCACTAGATATACACAGCATGACTAATTTGTGATACATTTTTATCCTCAGCTAGTCAAAACAAAAAGGTGGACATTATTTATTGGTTCAGATGACATTCTCCAGTAGAATTTGTTATTTCGATCAAAGTATTAAGTACCTCCAACTCCATCGGCGCAAAGACTGACCACCACATACACTGCAAAACATTAGATTATACACACCACGACACACAAACCAATGGAAACAAAAAGAAAAAAGCTGCAGTTGCACGTTTTAAAATAGAGATGGCGACAAAGAGGCAAAACTTACAGTTTGCAGCTTTAGCATTAGCTGTGTTTCCTTCACCCTGTCTTGATGCAAATTTGAAGTATCAAATCACAAACAAGAAATGGAAGTTTAAAAAAAAAAACTTAGTTTGAAAAAAGGTTTTAACATTCACTTGTGGCGGTTTTGATGAGAAACGGGGTTGATGTGAATGGAAACCCATTTCCCAAATAAACTGTGACATAGAGAGCATTACACTCATGAGACTAATCAGCTGTTTCTGCTATGGTGAGTTGTTTACTGTCTGTTACAAGGTTACCAATACTACAGTCAGCTTCTCTAACAACTTGATGGAAATTATTATTATTTTTTTTGAAAACTTAAAAAAACATTCATTTGGGTAATGAGATCTGGCTAATGACACATTCTTTAAACATTGTAGGTTTTAGAGGAGCCGCTACTGCTGGTCAGTACAGAGAGTCAGGACAGTGATGTGATGATCAGCCCACCATGGAAACTACTGACCGACTTCATTCTGCAAAACGAAGCTGAGCACAGATCATTCCCACAAATGGTAAACATCAAGGATTACTGAGACTGCATAATGGATACATTTTTTGTACTGTTATTAATTTGTTTTGATTTGGGTTCCAGCTGTCTTTACCAACAGAAGGCCCGTGTTCTGCTGGAAGTGAAGTTGCGTCAGTATCAGACACCGCCAACAGCCTGACAGCAAGTCCAACGGACATCAGAGAGTGAACAGAGATATACCAGCAATTCAATGTATACTTGCTCAATTGAAGTATTATTTAAGGTGGCTGAGAGAGCTTAACGTGCTGCAATAAAAAAAAAATACAATTACAAAAAACAGCAGCAAATTAAGAAAAGATCTTCATCCGTGTGACACATTAAAAAATGTTTAAAAAACACAACAGAAATGTTTCGTGGGACCCAAAAACGTGACGAACGCTGCTGTGCCATGACTATTGCTCAGTGAAGTTGTAGGTGATCTTTGAAAGGTGAGTTTTTGTTTGTTTATTTAAACGTCCGGATTCCCTTGTTCATTTTATTAGCCCAAATAACCATAACCTAAATGGTCTGTCACATTTTAGGATCCTTTTAAAACATTTCCATTGTGTTCTGAGCTATTTTGCAAGTATTTTATGACAATGTAGTACATTTTATTAATTTGTTTGCATTGTAAGAAAATGCAGTGCATTTTTTTTTAAAAATGTGTATGTGCTGTAAGGAATTGCAGCATGTGTGCTGTCAAACGGATGTACCCTTTTTCTTAATTTGTTGGTGTTTTTTGTAATTGCATTTGTTTTCTTAAATTGCTGCACCTTAAGCTCTCTTAACCACTATAATTAATTTTTCTGATTTAAATCTTGTAAACACAGTGTATATTATTAAAACAATAGTAATTTATTATATTTAAAGCACAAGGATTATCCTGTGTGGGTAAAATGTGACAGCGTGTTAGTGCTCTTATTATTTTGCAATGTATTTGCTTATTAAAATGAACAGTTGTAGTATTTTTTAAAAATTTGCATTCAATTCTGTTTGTTGACCAATGTGCCTATAAGGTTGCGCCAAAAGTACTGGTAGAAATGGAACAAAAATTATTAAAATTAATGTGTTGTATTGCACAGATCATGTAGAAAGTTTGATAGATATTGTATTTAATTATTGGTATATAAATTATATAATCACAAAGTTGCCTTGATGTGTTGTTGAGCTGTTATTTTTGTCATGATTCTCCAGCACTGTTTCTGCTTTTTTTGTTTCTCTTATTAAATAAGTAACACAGGGCCCAGTTTTTCAAAAAATGTAATCTGGATCAAATTGGTCCAGATTTGGAAAACCCATGTTTTGCTATCCAGGATTAACTGATCTATCTTACTTTTATGACAGTTTTTTAAAGGTACACTGGGATGGACCACTCTGATCCAAATATCAAATTTCAGGATTACCAAATACTGTTTACCAGAGCCTAAAATGGAACCAATTGCGTAGCCTACTGACTTAGCAAAAAAACAACAGGTATGCAAAATACCAGCTGCCACAAACAGACATTGGTTGTTTTAATGGTTACAAACAGAATCACTTTAATCAACAAATATTTGACCTTATAGTTTGTTCTAATACAAAACTGCTTTGATATTCTTTTGTTGTTGTTTACCAGATCTTATATACCATCTAGATGTGATATGCTTTATATAGGCTTCAAATATGAAGGAATGTATTTCATCAGCAACCATTAAGTTTTTGATCATTCACTTAAAAAAAAAAAAAATTAATTTTACTTTTGAAAAATTTAGCTCTGGTGGCATATAGATATCTCACTCACTGCTAGTAGCTAAAATATTATCATTAAACTTATTTTAAATGATTAAAAGTTATCCATTATGTAGTTTTATGTCATTTGATACCACTGCGGCTATTTTTAGAGTCCTATTGCAGTAGTTTTAAAACTGAAAGCGAAAGAAAGTTAAGCTTGCATCACGAATGCATTGCACAGTGATCCACCGCTCGTCCTGACATCGCAATCCTTTGTAAAAGAAGAAGAAGAAGAAAACGGTGAGTCACATCTTCCTTCGTTTTCTTACAGGATTTCCTGTGGGTTAGTCTATGATTTGTGAATGTTTGTGAGATGTAAAATGCATTATCAATGATCCGAGAAAAGAATTAGTTGTTTTTGCTATGGCAATTGCTACCTTTAAACTGCACCTGCATAAAAATCTTCGTCATATACATGCCGTTTTGAGCAAAAATCTTTTATCTAGCACAAAATTATGTAAATGTTAGCATTAACATTTGTCTTTTCTCACGCATTTTTTTTTACAACAAAATCACGTTGCTACATTTTGTGCATTTCTAGGCAGGTTAGACCACATCCCTGCATGTGCTACTTCCTTGTTGCTCGTTAACACTGACAAGATAGTCTGATAGACTGCAGTGTAAAGTTCACAGAGCACACACTAAAAATATGTAAGTGAGTTATTTAAAGTGTAACTATAGGAGCAGGTCATAAATGCTGTAGTTATGTTTAGGTGTAATGAATGATATGTGCCTCATTCAACAAACATTAACTACTTAACTTTCAAATTAGCTATGTTCACATTAGACTGGTGTTATTTACAAATCAACAAAACATTTAAATCTTTCTTGGATGATTAGTTAAGTAGAAAACAAACAAATAAGAATGGCATTCCTATTTCCCATTTACTGTAATATAAGTTATTTCTCAAAGCGATTTATTACATATTATATATTTTTTCATGTAATAAATGTTGGGGTGACGTAGTGGTGCAGTAGGTAGTGCTGTCGCCTCACAGCAAGAAGGTCGCTGGGTTGCTGGTTTGAGCCATGAATGAATGAATGAATGAATAATAAATGTTGTTATAACTTAGCTTGAATTAAATAATTGTATATAGGCAAGCTACAATTTTGAACTCTAATTTCAGCCTTACAGTTAGCTTCTGACATGTTTTTAGTCCTGGAATGTGGATCTTTTTTGCAAGTATGCAACATTCATTCATTCATTCATTTTCTTGTTGGCTTAGTCCCTTTATTAATCCGGGGTCGCCACAGCGGAATGAACCGCCAACTTATCCAGCAAGTTTTTACGCAGCGCATGCACTTCCAGCTGCGACCCATCTCTGGGAAAAAGTATGCAACATTGTTTAAAATTGTGTTAAAATGTAAGACATTACTGTAAATGTAGCCTATAGGGCATGATTTCCTAAGAATGTTCACACATTGGATTGCAAATTTGACTTGAAATAAATGAAATACACCTTTTGTTTCATTGCTAGCAATCAGATTAACTTGTCCTATTTGGGCACTATTTATTCAATTGGAAATATACTAATTTATTTAATAAAGTAGCATTTTACCTTCATTAAAATAAACCATGTTCTTTGGTATATTGATTAGCATTTTCAATATGCAAGTTTCTTTTAGTTTCTTTTAGTTAAACTATGGTTATTGTAGCGAAGCCATGATCAGTTTGTGACTCTGGACCCTCACAAGTGTCAATAAAAAAAATGAGATTTATACATAATGGAATCTGAGGATTAAAACAATCAAAATACTGAGAAAATCACATTTAAAATGGTCTAAATTAGCTTCAATGCACATTATTAACTAAAAAATCGGTTAGTAAATGAAAATGTACTAAAATTTCCTTTGGTAAATTTACTAATATTTTCCTTCATGAAACTTGATACTTGCTTAATATTTTAACGATTATGGGCATTAAAGATAAATCAGTAATTTTGACCCATACAGTTATTAGCACTTGCCAAACGACCCTTGCAAACTGGTCCCATTTGTGAGTACCATGGTTTAAATACAATAACCATATTTGTTTGGTTTGAATCGTAGTAAACTTTTCATAATGGCAATGAAAGTTTGAGTCCTTCATAGGATAATAATTCATTTTCGCTATTAATTATATTTGTTGTTTTACTTCATTGTAGCAAAATTGAATTTTCTGAATTTTTTTGAATGCAGGACAAACAATGGATTGTGCTGTTGACGATTTCAAGAGAATGCTTCATAAGAAAGCATCTGGCCTGAAAGAGTCCTCTTCAGTTAAGAAGTGTGATGTCATATTGTACTTCTGCCCCATTACTTCACGAGCAGGAACTGATATTGATGCTGCAATGAAGCACCTTAATCAAATCACAAGCGACTTACAAGGTAGATGATTACATGATTAAAAGGCAAGGCATAGCAGGAGACCATGCAGGGTAAAATAATTACTAATATTAATCATGATGCTTCCCCATTGATTGACTACAGTAAGAAGTGCAAACATTTTGTTTGTATCACAAGTTTTCTAAAATGCTACATTTTATTGATTTAATATGCACACATTTGCATACATTTCTAGAGCAAAAATCTGAACTTTGAATAAAGTCAGGTTATTTAATTGTATATTTGTTAATATTAGAGAAAACTTGTTTTATAGAGTGGATTTTAGGAATTTATTTTAACCCACACAATTCAGAAAATACTGCAAACAGTGAGAAATTAACAGAAACACGTTGTGTAAAATGTTGCACATAATAAACCATATATACTGTTGCATACAATCTTTACTATATATATATAACGTTTAAACAACCTTTAAACATATACTGCAATTAAAATCTGTAGACTGATTTAAAGAGATAGTTCAACCCACAACTAAGATTCTGTGATCATTTAATCACTCTTCACTTACCACAAACATGTTTAAGTCTCTAATGTTGAACATACACACAAAAAAAGTTATTTTGGAAAATGTAAAACTGTAACCACTGGCTTAAAATTTGTCATTGGTTACTGGTTTCTAACATTCTTTGAATTATCTTCTTTTGTGTTAGAATTAGCATTAGTCTAGAAACTTTTTAAATGTGTATTTTGGTAGTTTTCTCTTTACATTAGATCAGGGGTGTCAAACTCAATTCCTGGAGGGCCGAAGCCCTGCACAGTTTAGTTCCAACCCTGCTCCAACACACATACCTGTAGGTTTCAAACAAGTCTGAAGGACTCAATTAGTTTGATCAGGAGTGTTTTATTAGGGTTGGAACTAAACTGTGCAGAGCTGCGGCCCTTTTGGAACTGAGTTTGACACCTGTGCATTAGACTGAAAAAAAAAAACACTTTATGAAACCAAAATCCAAAATCTTAAAAATTCACAGGTGCAAAAAATGTTTTTATTTTAATTCTCCATTTAACCACCCACTTTTAACTGACTTACAGCTTCCAAACTTGCCATCGTTGTGGTGCTCCATATCACGTTTGACCCAGATAAAATAATATCTGACAGTGAAAAAATTATCAAGCAAGAGAACACATATGCTGTAGACTGTCTGCTTTGTGAAACTGATGGATTACTGGAATGTCAGAAGAATGCAGAAGCAATTAAAAAGACTGCAAATCACTTCAAAAGCAAGGTAGGTTCATCACCATTGGCCATTTGCACAAACTGTGAGGACAAGTTTTGACTTATGAATAAATATCTAAGAACTTTCATTTATTTTCAACACAACACACATTACCTTGGCACAAAATCTAAAAAAAAAAAAAAAAGATCAAATGTTAAATCAGCTTTCAAACATTATATTTGCTGTAGTTTCTAGGTTCAAAATTCATTACAACCTTAATTTCATGGAAACTTCAGAGTCTAAATATGTGATTTGATGTAGTATGTTCAAATATGTCTTTCCCTTACAGAAGCTGACTTCATTTTATTGCTTGACAAGTAAGTATTTCAAGCTAACATTTCTCATTTGTGACCCTGGACCACAGAACTATTTTTATGGTACCAGTGATTCTTTCTTACAGTGTATCCGGAAAGTATTCATATATTTCACTTTTTCCACATTTATTTATGTTACAGCCTTATTCCAAAATGGATTAAATTCATTTCATTAAGTTCAATTTATTTCCTCAAAATTCTTTACACAATACCCCATAATGACAATGTGAAAAGATTTTATTTTTTTTTTTAAATGTAGCAAATTTATTAAAAATATAAAACCTGAAAAATCACACGTACATCAGTATTCACAGCCTTTGCCTTAAGTTCTAAATTGAGCTGAGGTACATTCTGTTTCCACTGATCATTCTTGAGATGTTTCAGCAGCTTTGAGTTGATTGTACATTATTTGAAAAGGCATACACCTGTCTATATAAGGTCCCAGGGTTGACAGTGCATGTCAAAGCACAAACCAAGCTTGAAGACAAAGTAATTGTCTGTAGACCTCCGGAACAGGATTGTCTCGAGGCACAAGGCTGGGAAAGGTTACAAAAAAATGTCTATTGCTCTGAAAGCTCCAATGAGCACAGTGGCCTCCATATTCCTAGAGCTGGCCGGCTATTTAAGCTGAGAACCTTACAGAAGGACAACCATCTGTGCAGCAATCCACCAATCAGGCCTGTATGGTAAAATGGCCAGACGGAATTTGCTAAAAGGCATCTGTAGGACTCTCAGACTATAAGAAACAAAATCCTCTGGTCTGATGAGACTAAAACTGAACTCTTTGGAGTGAATGCCAGGTGTTACGTTTGGAGAAATCTAGGCACCCTCATCACCAGGCTAATACCATCTCTACAGTGAAGCATGGTGGTGGCAGCATCATGCTGTGGGGATGTTTTTCAGCAGCAGGAACTGGAAGACTAGTCAGAATATAGGGAAGATGAATGCAGCAATGTACAGAGACATCCTGAATGAAAACCTGCTTCAAAGTGCTCTTAACCTCAGACTGGGGTGACGGTTCATCTTCCAGCAGGAAAATGATTCAAAGCACAGCGCCAAAATATCAATAGAGTGGCTTCACAACAACTCTGTGAATGTACTTGAGTGGCCCAGCCAGAGCCCAGACCTAAATCCTATTAAACACCTCTGGAGAGATCTGAAAATGGCTGTACACCGTCGCTTCCCTTTCAACCTGATAGAGCTTGAGAAGTACTGCAAAGAAGAATAGGCAAAAATTCTCAAAGAAAGGTGTGCCAAGCTTGTGGCATCATATTCAAAAAGACTTGCTGTATTTAATGCCAAAGGTGAATCACCAAAGTATTAAGCAAAGGTGATTTTTCAGGTTTTTTATTTTGAATAAATTTGCAACAATATTCACATTGTCATTATGAGGTATTGTGTGTAGAATTTGGAGAAAATAAATGAATGTAATCCATTTTGGAATAAGGCTGTAACATAAAAAAATATGGAAAAAGTGAAGCACTATGAATACTTTCCGGATGCACTGTATATGCCAGAAATCATTAGAATATTATCTAAAATCATGTCTATTAAGATATTTTCAGAATTTTTGCAACTATAAATATATTACAACATGTTTGATTAGTACATTTATGCATTGTTATATGGATAATTCACCCAAAAATACAATTTACTAGCATTTATTCACCCTAGTTTCAAAGCTTTGCATACGGAAAGCTAATATTCTGCTTTCAAATGATTCTAAAATCGAAATAAATATATAAAAAATAAAATTTTAACTGAATGGTTTAGTTGTCCAGGGTCACATTTAGCAATATGTCTTCACTTGTAATGCTTCTTTATGCTGGCTCCAGTTTCCCAAATACTAGACCAGGGATGACAAACTCAATTCATGGAGGGCCGCAACCCTGCAGAGTTTAGTTCCAGCCCTGCTTCAACACAGCTATTTGCAGGTATCAAACAAGACTACAGCACTTGATTAGTACAATCAGGTGTGTTTAATTAGGGTTGGAACAAAACTGTGCAGAGCTACGGCCCTCCACGAACTGAGTTTGACACCTGTGTACCAGACCATTGATCTGACTAATGTTAAAATCAAACCAGATCATCTTCAATCAAAACAAAAAATGATTTGTGAAGTTGATCAACAATGTCAATATCCCAGACTTTGACACAGCTAACATATATAGCTTAACCATATAAAGCTTGAGCATGTTAAACCTTTGTGAATATGTAAATTTTGCCAAAGAATGTTCATATTTGAAAGCACCAAAACAAACACACTCATAATTCAACAGGACCTCACTTCTTACCTCACCCCACACATATAGTATGTACATAACACTGCTAATGATGAAAAAACAACCCAAAACTAAAGTTCTTAAAAGTTAGATTATTTCCAAAAAACTAAACTTCTGTCAATAATTATTCACCCTCATGTTGTTCCAAAGCCCCACTTCAGAGCACTTTAGAGTAAAAACAGTTATGGCCGCCATATTGTAGTGTTGTTCCAAACTGAAGTGCTCAAAACTGGCCACTTTTTTTTTCTCCGAAATTAAGGATTTTAAATGGTACACCTGATGGTACACGCTTCAGGCCTCCATGATCTTTTGCACAGTTGTTTGCTGTCAAACTGAATGTTCCATTGAAAGGACTCATCTAGAGGATAAACGTTTCAAAGAGATTAGGGTATATTGGGATAAGCTCTTCCAAATGGAAGGCAGTGTTGGGTTATATCCAAAAATCGCATATTTCTATACTATATACAGTTAAAGTCAGAATTGTTAGCCCCCCTGACTTATTAGTGCCCATGTTTATTTTTTCCCCAAATTTCTGTTTAATGTATATGAATATTGTTTCATCATATTTCTAAACATAACAGTTTTAGAAACGTATTTCTAATAACTGATTTATTTTATCTTTGTCATGATGACAGTAAATAATATTTTACTTGATATTTTTCAAGACACTTCTGTACATTTTAAATTGACGTTTAAAGGCTTAACTAGGTTAATAAGGTGAACTAGGCAGGTTAGGGTAATTAGGCAAGTTATTGTATAACGATGGTTTGTTCTTTAGACTATCGAAAAAAAAAATTGCTTAAAGGGGCTAATAATTTTGTCCCAAAATTGTTTTTTAAAAAATTTAAAACTGCTTTTATTCTAGCCGAAATAAAACAAATAAAACTTTCTCCAGAAGAGAACATATTATCAGACATAGTGGGAAAATTTCATTGCTCTGTTAAACATCATTTGGGAAATATTAATAAAAGAAAAAAAATCAAAAAGGGGCTAATAAATCTGACTTCAACTGTAGTATGATAAAAACAGCATGCTAGCCAAGTAATATGTCTAAATTCAAAGAATTTAAAAAACAGTATTCGATACTTCTGGCGAGATTCTAAAGTGTGCATCTGAAACTACGGATACTGGAAGCCTGTGCTGGCATTTCTCCTGTGGTGTTGTTATCAGTGTGTGAACACATTTTATAAGTGGTCAGAAACTTGCAAATAACCTACGAATTAATAAAGTTTTGTTAAAACCAAGCACACCATTGTTTTTCTTCTGAAATTCCCAATAAGTTTGATGTGTCAAATGACCCTTTTCCTATTGAAAAAACAAAAGTTGGATCCACGATGGCCGACTTCAAAATTCCCACCATGGTCACCACCCATTTTAAAAAGTTTGCCCCCTCACATATACTAATGTGCCACAAACAGGACGTTAATATAGAATATCGACGTTAATATATATTAATATATAGAACATAATTTTCTAAAGGTCGAATACTACATTTAAATTCAAATGTATTACCTACGGAGTGGAATGCAGTACCGATTTCGGACACAGCCTTAGAGTTTGTTCTAACCTCTAACTTACAAAAACACTTCTTTTTAACTATATAAAAATTAAAAAAAGTTCCTTTTGTCATCTTTGGTCAGATTTCTTTGATTGTGTCAAAACAGTGAGATCAATTATAGTCATATTTGGCCATACAACAGCATATAAAGCTTTGACATTTTGAGACCAAACTTTGTCATTTTATATAAGTTTTGTCTTTCATATTTTGCAGAAGATGATAGGAACACTTCTTCACCCATATACGAGAATACAGAAAGTACCCCGCTGATTCACAGTGACGACTCAAGTGAAGGAGTCATACAAAGACAAGAAGATGTACCAAGACAAGAAGACAAACTAAGACAAGCAGACAAACTAAGACAAGAGGCTTGTTGTTTTTGTGGGGTTTGCTTCTTCTTTTGTTGTGGTTGGCTTTGTGAATGTAAACCTTATAAAAGAATATGTGCATGTTGTCACTGTCAGAAATAATTAGTGGCTGTGTAGCTTGATGAAATCAAACTATCATGAAAACAACTGTAAAAAAATATCAGTAAATTATCAGTTTTCCATATCTTGTGATTCATGTTTTTATTTTTCCCCCTTTGTTTATGCTTTTGAACAACTTTTAATCTTTAAAGATCGAAAAAGTGACATTGATTTACATTTTTGATAGCTTAAAGAGTTTGTCTGGGTTGGTGTTGTATATTACGGTACATATACTTATTTTGCTATACTTTATTTCTATCTCTATACATTATATTAGTTCAAACTATTACAAACTATTCAATAGAGCAGCAACCAACATCCAATGATGCAATTCACAACTGTGAATAAATGAAAAACGCTTGTGAAATCACAAAATATGGAAAATTTTTAATTAAAGTAATTAATTAACAGATATTTTTTTACATTGTACAGAGAAACAAAGAGTGCAGCATAAAGAGACTTAAACTCTGAATACAATTAGCAAGCAACTGGCTCTGACAAATACATAAAGATATTTTATTTTGATGCTGGGTACATAGTTGGTTACATGTAATATGTGTCATGATTAAAAATGAAGTACTTCTAATATCATTATTTTACAAATTAAATATAACTCATAGCCATATTAAATTATGTTTTATAATTAATGACATGATTGCATTATGCTTTACTACTGTGAAATCATATACAACTCTCGAGTCTGGTATTTGAATTTGATTGGCTGAGAGGCCTCCACTAATACCACCACAGAGACCTCTTCGCCATGTCACTCCATATACCAGGGGTCACCAATCTCATTCCTGAAGGTCCGGTTCCTGCAGGGTTTAGCTCCAACTTGCCTCAACACACCTGCCTGTGTGTTTCAAGTATACCTATGACCTTGATTAGCTTGTTCCAAGTGTGTTCGATAAATCTGCACAACACCGAACCTCCAGGAACAAGTTGGTGATCCCTGATATATACTATATGTCATGGACTAAAGTCAAATACTGCTGTTGTGTTTTATTTTAGGCAAAAATGTAGTTGTTTAGACTTTATATAAAAGGTTTGTTAGTAAGGATAACACCTATTTGAATTTTTGTTTCAATGATTTTGGAGATATCAGGATGACAGTGGTTGTTTAGCTAAAGAACCTGTCAACCTTACCTCAGACACTTAATCTGGAATCTGCCATTGCTCTTTGACATACATCTCTATAGTGGTTAAACATGATGTAATTTGTTTTGGGTATTGACAATTTTTTTTTCTTAAACAATTCAATTATTTGTTTCTGAGCAAATAGTTCTGACTGAGGACAAAGTAAAAATTGTAATTATTAATTAAGTAATGTATCAAATTGTGGCCATTTTTTAATTTAACTGGTTTCCTTGTGTCTTGGTTATAAATAAAGTTTTTTACTTTGTCCTCAGTCAAATCTATTTGCTCAGAAACAAATAATTGAATTGTTTAATAACAAATATTGTCAATACCCAAAACAAGTTACATCAAACACTATACATACTGTAAATAATATTATTTAATAAAACTATTCTGTATTGCCAACAGTGTGTTTGCGGTGATTAACAGAGTGACTGGAAGTAAAAACAGAATGAACAAAATCTACTAAAACAGACAAAATTTAAAACAGAAAAAAGACACCTTTGACTGGTTTGTCCAGGGTCACATTTAGCAACATTTCCACTTTTGGAATGCTTCTTTACTCTAGCCGTAGTTTTGCTAGATTACTAAATACTAGACCATTTATCTGATAAATGTTCAAATCAAACTAGATCATCTTCAGTCAAAAAACAAATGAAAACAAAAAACATTAGCTGTGAAGTTGATCAGCCGAACTGTTCTCCAACAACAATGTCCTAGAATTTGACACAGCTAATTAAAGAGGACATGAGGCTATATTTTTATAAACCTTTAGTATGTTAAATGTTATGAAATGTTATTAACATGTAAATTTTTTCAAAGAATGTTCATATTTGAACAAAACAAACATACCCATAATTTAACAGGACCTCACTTATTTAGATATCGCCACCCCACACATATAGTTTATACACTACCGGTTAAAAGTTTGGGGTCAGTTTTTTTTTTTAACTATTAATTTTATTTAATAATTTTAATAAATAATTCTGTTCATCTGTTTATTTATTAAATATTTATTTATTACTTATTGTATGTGGTTTTAAGTGAAATTATTAGTCCAGTCATTATTGCTTTTATTACTATTATCATTAATAAGCTTCGGCTGGGTCAGTTGGCGTTTCTGTGTGGAGTTTGCATGCTCTTCCTGCGTTCGCGTGGGTTTCCTCCGGGTGCTCTGGTCTCCCCCACAGTCCAAAGGCATGTGGTACAGGTGAATTGGGTAGGCTAAATTGTCCGTTGTGTATAAGTGTGTATAGATGTTTCCCAGAGGTGGGTTGCAGCTGGAAGGGCATCCGCTGCGTAAAACATGCTGGATATGTTGGCGGTTCTTTCTGCTGTGGTGACCCCAGATTAATAAAGGGACTTAGCCGAAAAGAAAATGAATGAATTAATTAATTAATTAATTAATGAACAGTTCACAATTTTACAATTTCTTCTGTAATTTTGATCAAACAAATGCAGTTTTGGTGAGAAGAATAAGCTTATTTTAAATCATTAAAGATCCTACTGACCCCAAACCTTTGACCGGTATTGTACATAACCCTGTCAATGATGAAAAAACAACATAAAACTACAAACGCAGCTCTCAAAGGGTTAGTTCAACCAAAAAAATGTAAAATTGTGTCAATAATTGCTCACACACTATGTTGTTCCAAATCCCTACTTAAAAGCACTTTAGAGCTATGGCAGCCATATTGTAGTGTCGTTCCAAACTGAAGTGCTCAAAACTGGATATCAGAATTGTGAAAATTAAGTTCAATTTAATTGTTTTAGGAGACTGAAATTATATATTCCCTGCATTAGTCATGTGAAAACTGGTAATGAGCTGCCAGTACTCCTCTGTTATTTCATGTAGAGTTAATTTCTTGAGTTATGAACATCGATAGTCATGTCAAGGCATAGGTCAAGATCCCATAATTAGGCATGGGCCGGTATAAGATTCTGACGGTATGATAACCTTGGGTAAAAATATCACGATTTCACAATATCTTACTAATATTACTGTTCTTTTAAAATGTCTGGTTAAAGAACAACAACTTTTTCCACTTTCATTTATTAATTCATTTTCTTTCTGGCTTAGTCCCTTTATTAATCCAGGGTCGCCACAGCTGAATGAACCGCCAACCAAACCAATCTCTGGGAAACATCCACACACACTCATTCATACTCATACACTACGGAGAATTTAGCCTACCCAGTTCACCTGTACCGCATGTCTTTGGACTTGTGGGGAAAACCGGAGCACCCGGAGGAAACCCATGCAAACGCAGGGAGAACATGCAAACTCCACACAGAAACGCCAACTGACCCGGCCAAGGCTCGAACCAGCGACCTTCTTGCTGTGAGGTGACAGCACTACCTATGGCATCACTCCGTCGCCTTTTTCCCCATTCAACATGGTATATATTTTTTAACATTTAAAATATTTTGAAACAATAAATGTCAGCAAACATTAAATGACTTCTGCTGTCTCAATTTCAAAAACACAGATTTCTTTTCAACTTGAAACGGCATCTTTAAAAATCTTTATTTACTATGGATATAAAGTAAGCCACTGCACTGTTCAGCTCTTCAGCACACTGGATGTTAGTTTATATTTGTTTTTCAGATGTTTCCTGAATCATGGACTGAAAAAAAACTTAATAGAATTGATTTAGGAAAAAAACTTTAAAAACAACAAAACTTACAAACACCTTAGAAACGGTTTTAAAACCTTGACTTTTTAAAAACCGCGGTAAACCTTAAAACCGGTTATCGTCCCATGCCTACCCATAATGCGATTTTAAAGATGTTAATCACAAGATGCAGTCAACTGATAATTGACAGAACAGTTTTACAGTGGAACATTTTTTTTTTAAATCTTTGGTGAGCTGCTGTTTCTTTACAAATCAAGCACTATGCTTTAATTTTTTTTGAGGTGATAACAGAATTATCACACAGAAATTAGTCTTCGATAAATGTTCAGAATTTTTAAACAAGATTGTTTGTTTTACTGCATCTGATGTGCATTTTAGCTATAGTTTTCCTGAAATTTAGCTATATTTTCCCAACAATCCAGTGTTGCTGTAAAAGATGGTTTTAACACTTAAAAACAAGGGAATCAGTTGTGCTGTCCTGTAGTGGATGTCCTGCACAGCAGACTCATATGAAGGACCTCTCTTATGTAGGACCTGTGTTTTGAACCGTATAATCAAATCAATGCATTCACTAATTCCCCCATTTCTCAGTGGTTGAGCATGTGAGTAAATTGAAAAGATCTTGTTTGGAGATGGTGCTTTACACCATTGCTTCAGGCTCTCAACCTTTTGTGCTGTAGATCAAATAATAAAAGAGGTGCTGCACTTCAACGGGCCAATTCATCCTCACAGAAAGAGATGAATTAATGGATCAAATCTCTGCTTTTTGCTCTCAGAGCTTTCATCTTTGCCCCTACCTATTTATTGTCACGTTACAAAACAGAGTGAGAAATATCAAGCCTCAAGCGCAATTATCCACGTCTTTCAGAAGGTTATTAAAATGCTAATTTAGCGAATGTGCCTAATAAGAAAAGTACATTTAGAGGGTATAGTTCACAAAACTGAAAAACTGCTTTTAATTTACTCACTCTCAGGCTATCCAAGATGTAGGTCATTTTTATTTTTATTTCAGTACAGCTTTAAACAAGAATTTTGCTGAAAGTACCCAGCAAGTGTTTTTGTCTTTAAAAGATCTCTAATGGTCTAAAACAAGGCTAAATTTGGGCTGTCAGTAAATATCTAATAAACGTCTAAGAATAGCCCAAAACTAGACTAGTCATTAAATAAACAGAAATGAATGACTACACATATATAGTCTGTCTAATCTATGATGACTAGTCTAGTTTTGGCCTTTTCTTAGACGTCTAGACTTACACTGACAGCCCAAGTTTAGCCTTGTTTTAGCCAAGCGGACTACGTTTAGGTGTCTATTAGACGTCTATTAAACACAAAATTGTTTGCTGGGATGGTCCGGTTACTTAAAATGCAATTCAATTTCAGCTACCTTACAGTCTAATACATACAAAAATAAATGTTACCATCGAAACGTCATCCAAAAAACAACAAAAAAAAAAAAACATAGAACAAAGCATAGTGGTGATGCGGTGGCGCAGTAGTGCCTCACAGCAAGAAGGTTTGCATGTTCTCCCCATGTTCGCGTGGGTTTCCTCCGGGTGCTCCGATTTCCCCCACAAGTTCAAGGACAAGCTAAAATTGTCCGTAGTGTATGTGTGTGAATGAGAGTGTATGGATGTTACCCAGTGATGAGTTGCAGCTGGATGGGCATCCACTGCGTTAAACATATGCTGAATAAGTTGGCTGTTCATTCTGCTAAGGCGACCTCCGATTAAAGGGACTAAGCCGAAAAGAAAATCAATGAATGAATTAATGAATGACAAAACATAGTAGCTACACGTTTATTGTTGCTAACAATGTTAGCCATGCTCGAAACATGCTATCAACATAATTAGCATGTCTAATTGATACAAGCTGCAAGCAATCTATTAATTAATGCTAGCAAAATGCTATATTCTAACGACATGTTTGAAACACGTAAATCCATGCTAGCCAAATATTAAACAGTCTAGAAATGCTAAAAACATGCTGATTGTATTAGTGATACTTTTTTTAGGAATTTGCCATTCTGGTCTGTCAACAATAATGACGATTTAAATGACTATGATTATTTTAAAACTATTTTAGTCAATCTTACAAATTATTACACAGATTTTAGGGATAGTTACCCACATCACTTCATCATTTATTCTCCTCATGTGGTTTTAAACCTCAAACTAAGAGTTTTTTCTTCTGTTGAATACAAAATAAATTATTTTGAATAATTTTAAATGTTGATCACTAGGACACATGGACTTCCATAAAAAATACTATGGAAATTGATGTGTCACAGCTACCAGAATTTTCAAAAATATCTTTTGTGGTCAACAGAAAAGGAAACTCAAATAGGTTTTGAACAAGTGAAGGCTCATTAATGACAGATCTCTTGAAGTCTGAAGTTTGAAGTAGATATTTTGAAAATATTGCTTTCAAGTAAAATCTTGACTACTACAATACATTTAAAAATGACAGTAAAGCCCATTTCACCTGCCAAACAGAAAAAAAGTATAACAAACATTACAATAAAATCAATATGAGTAGATATTAACATACCACTTACTGACAGCCAATTACAGATGCAGAAAATTATGAAACAAGCACATTAATATGCATTGTCCATTGTTTAAAATAATTAAATAGACATTTAATTAAAGATCAAACAAGATGTCTTGCTTTGAGGGAAGAAATTTGGAAAAATTTTTGTCATAATTTGCTATGTATGCCAGCAAAGTAGCAAGTACATTTAAATTTACATTTAGTAATTTATT